CGCTATTCGAAATTCATAAATCGATTGAGAAAAAAACAAATCCGGGTTACAAACTAAAACTGAGGGTCACACATCAGATATAAGAGGAGAACAACGACACAACAGAACACAACACTAAAATGAAACACACACAGAAACGAACTATAATATAACAATGGCCATTTTCCTGACTTGGTACAGGAATTAGACCATTCCAAAATCTCACTATTTGGAGAACCACACTGATTCCATCACTGAATGAGAAACCATTAAAATGCTTGAATATGTATTAGCCAACAAATAATTTGAACTTGGTGGATTGATATTTCATCGGTAAATGGGTTCACATTGAGATTCCCAAATGGCCGACTTGTTCATACTCACATGAATCAAATGTCATACAGAACCTTCTCACAGGTAAAAAAGTAAATGCATCTTGCAAAGTTTTTTAATTTCACTTTTAATTTTAAATGATATGTCCTGTTACTCAATGATCTACATTTCATTGAATGTTTTCATCTAATATTCAAATGAACTTCAGATTAAGGATGCATCCGACACAAGACGGTCTGCTTCCTATCTTGATATTGACACAGATGGACAACTTCAAACAAGAATTTGTAACACATGGTATGATTTCAGTTTTTCAATTGTCAATTTTGCGCATCTCACCAGTAACATACCCTCTGCCCAATCGTATTACGTTGAGTTTACTTTATTCAAGTTATACGTTTCTATTGAGAATATTCACGTTATGCGGACTTCATTAAAAGTGTTGTGCTCCTTACACAAAAACGCTCTAAAGGAGTTATGAGAGAGAACGACTGAAGTCGACACAGCATAAGTTTAACGGTAACCAACCCGAATTGGTTGACTGATACGATGTGTCTGTGTCCTCACTCAAAAGCGATATGTTTTCACGGTCTTAGTTCTTTAAATGCCCGAATAGTCGTCTATTCTGTAAATTTACCAGTTGTGTCCTATTGCTGATTATTACATTTGTGGAGTGTGGATTCGCATGACAGTTGATGAATACACAGTAGGAGACGCCTTACCTTATTGACGCACCTGGTCGCACTCATTTCAGAGTTCATGCGATTCCCTCAGTTGTACTTTTTTTTTTATCTCGATTTACATCTTCTGATGGGTTGATGAGATTTGAACATCGGTTATCTACTGTTGCATCTAATTTACAACTCAGTTCAAAAATGACAAACAAATGTATTTCCACGCTTTCACGTATAATTTGTTTTATATGGCATTGAAATACAAAGGTTTATCTATTTGTATGTTTATCGACTTTCATTTTGCCATGTCTTTGTCAGATTCTCTTCGACTTTTGAGTTTAAATGTTTCCTTGACATCAAATCATGTTTTTACTGTTGTTCCAGAGTTATGGAACCTTAATCGTTATTATTTTATGATTTATCTATTACAATTATCGCTTGGCGACAAAAGGATGTAACTATATCTTATACTTAATTTGCTACCGTTGACCGTAAAATTACGGATTGTCATTTTTTCTCAACACTATTTTGTTTAGCACTGTCTTTGAGTATGGACTTACCATTGGGACAATGATTAATTATCAAAGGATAAAATAATGTTAACATTTAATGGTAATGTTTTAATGCATATCACCGAGTTAAGCTTTGCATTTAAATTTATCTTTCAAGTTGGCAGGAAGGGAAAGTCCATAAGAACTGACAAAAAATCAAACGTTAGACTTTATCAACCAACCGAATGAATAAAAAACAACTGTCATGTTCCTGAGCTAACCCACGTACACCATTGATTAGACTATTTTAAGACTATTCATTCGTTCAAAATATCGTCTTGCGAGTGTTATATTGTTGTAAGTCCAATTTTTTTTAAGTGTTTGGAAATTGAACATAAAGTTTAAAAATGCAATATCATAAATATTTGACAGAGATATAATAATGTATGTAGAAATTGAATTAACGCACATGAAGAATAACCTTTTGTTCAATTGTCTTTTGAATAGACGAGCACCTCCTTTTCTAGAGATAGAACACTTCACGACAAACAATGTTGTTTTAGAAATTAATTCCTATATTTCTTTTGGTGATAAATCATGGATAAGTCAATTGTGTAATATCTCCAATTCGGGAATGCTTAATTTGATAAGAATTACTCATAGGGTTCAAACCATGCAAACAATTCACTCAAGCATAGTACTACTAAGATAATTCTTATACCAAATATTTTACAGCACAAATACCTAAAAACTTTAAAAAAGCGGAGATACTGCACTATAAAACTATATTTCTCCAAACTTTCGGTGTCCAACTAGATGAATTAGTTATTATAATTCAATTGGAGGTTGGAGACAGAACAGTACAAAAAAAACTCGTAGAATGTAGAAATCTTATATTTTAGATATATAGGGAGGTAGACCATTGCACCTGGATATAAAATATATAGCTTTCTCCATTTTATCAAAAGTGGACATATAACACTATAAGACTCACACGACGATATATTTGAGTTATCTTTCTTTAAAAACAGTTTCTATCGTGATCCAAATTATGTGTAAGCTATTAGCTAGCGAAAAACCAAATAAAATCTATCCATATTGGTGAAATAACTGTTTGAACCATTTAATTGGCTTACCGAAAATTAGTGATAAGCTTAAGGCTAAATGATAGCACGATGGATTATTGTTGTATCACATGAAATGTTAAAACATCGGGATAACCAATTATATTGTTGTTTTGTTGTTTTGATGATTTTCTGTTTTTGTTATTCCAAACTCTTCATTCAAGCCCTCCGTGTAAAATAAAAACAGGGTTAAGTGTATATGAAACACAGTTCTAAGATGTACATGGCATTTTCTCCAAATTCTACAATTTACTATACACAGATACATCATAACTAGATGAAGAAAGTTCATTTATTACATGAAAATAATATTGACATCATGACTGCTGTTTAAAATTCATCAACATGGCTTTGAAAAAAATATCTGCATATTTAAAGAACATCTAGTCAATTTAGCTTATATTTAGTACATTTAATTATGATTTTTTATTAGCTTTCGCTGGCAGTAGTGGCTAACTGAAAAAGTCTGACACCAAAATTTTGCACGTTTGAACATTTTTGACCTGTTAGATCAGTAATACAGAATAATTATTTATTTTGCAGTTTATAGTATTTCCCTTTCACAATATCAATGAAGATTAACACTTTCATGTCGGGACCTTTTATAGCCGACTGTACGGTATGGTTTTTTTCATTGTTGAAGTCCATACGGTTGCCTATAATTGCATACATCCATTTCATTTGAACTCTCAGCTGGCTGGTGGATAGTTGTCTCATTGGCAGTCCTCCCACATCTTATTTTATTCTTTATATAAACTAGAAAATGGTTATATCTACAATTACTTCTCGAATTTTCTAACTTTTATACTAGATTGTATCACCTTTTCGATACAGAGTAAACATATGTAGGGAAAGTAATTATACTTTTTTCCCAGGGCTTAAAAGATTCATGCACATTAAATACTTTGTTTGTTAGGATAGAGACATCCCGATATATAAATGAATGATATGTGGTGATTAAATTACAGGTAAGATCGTATAAATATATATGTATGTAAAGATCTACATATATTTTAAACCTTTTAATGACCTTCATGTCGTAAGTAAACACAGATATTTTCATTTGATATTTATCTCATAGAAACTTAAATAGAAATGACTGACGAAAGACCAATTGGTATGTATTTTTTTATAAATCCCAGATACTTTCGTTACCATTTTTATCAATGAACTATAACTGATTTTGATACTTACTTTATGCTAAACTAATACGGTTTAGGATTTGATATTTTAGAAAGTCATATTGTAAAATTGACAAATGAAAGCCATATCCTGGTGACAAGAACACAAATTGCTTTCAATTTGTAGTAACTATTATCTTTACCATGGATGTTTTTGACTAAAATTAATAGGGTCGATATCCTTCTCTTATATCTATCATATACACAGGTTTGGTTCCAATCCAATGTGAAGTCCTGGAGTTATCATACGAAACCATCTTTCTGTACCGTTTTTGGTTTATCATTAGTAACTATGACTTGGGCATTTTGAACAAATGCATAAATAAGATAAAAGTACTCTTTCATAGAAAGTTGTTTCTCCCTTCGGCTGACATTGTTTTTTTTTTATTTGAATTGAACTTCAAGAGATAGAAAGCCGCAATTACATCAAATTCTAGAATTCTGCATATCAACCAAAGGGTCATAAATCAAAGGTGTCTGTTGGAAAGAAATAATAATCAGTTTTGAGAAATGGTGTCAATTCCAATTAATAGGGTCACCTTTAATGTAAATGATTACATTTAATTACACTACTGGAACAATGCCCAGTAGATTGGCCGTGAAAATGTCCGTAAAAATGCTGGTGATTTTAACAGTGTTTGTCACGGTTAATTAACGGTTGGCCGTGAAACTTATCCGTGACAATGCCGTGGAATGACTGTCGTGAAAAGGCTGTAAAAAGTTTGTGAAAAGGCCGTGAAGAGGTGCCACCTGAAAACTTGGGTGAAAAGTCCGTAGAAACCCTGTGAAAAAAAAAATGTACACCGTGAAAAAGTCGTGATAATGCATTATGTGCCCATTGTGAAAAGACCGTGAAATGTAGATATAGTACAGTATATGCCTTTATTTGTTGTGAAAATGCCGTGAAAAGGTGCCAACTGAAAACTTGGGTAAAGAGACCGTAGAAACCCTGTGAATACAAAATTGTACACCGTGAAATAGTCGTGATAAATTATGTGCCCATTGTGAAAAGACCGTGAAATGTACATGTACTACTGTGATAAACAGCCATTCACTGATTGTAAAAACTCCTGTAAAATGTTAAATGTATTTTTCAGGCCATAATTTAACAAAAAATTTAAATGCTGTTTCAATCAAGTGAAGTGAAATGCCTGAAAACCTAGTGTAAACATCTACAGACAACTTATTTAAGTACAATGCAAGTGAGACTATGAAAAACCATATTAAAATGCTGTATTTTTTTTAGTAATAATTGTGACAAAGAATAAAAATATTAATTTTAATAGAACTGTAGTAATTATGTAAAGAAAACATAAAAGCACACAAATGTCAGTGTGATTAAGTAGCTAAAGTCAGCTGTAACATGTATTGTAGAAATTTTTTTCATCTCTTGGGTCTGAATTTACCACTTCAGCAATATTTGTCTAATGTAATCCTTCACTTCACTGCCCCTTTGAATAACTATTCCAGAAAAACATTTATAGAAGTTCCTGTTAATTCCCAGCAAATACTTTTAACCGAAAAGCTCTTCTTTCCAACTGGATTCCTGAACTATTTTATATAAAGACTGCTATATCCTTTTGCTCTTCATTCCTAGAATAAATAAAGAAACATTACCATGTGATTACATATATTATACATGTATATAAAAAAAAACTATTTATATATTCAAATTATTTTTTGGCATTTATGTACATACATGTACTTAAAACAGCTACAATATTATTCCATGCAATACAGGACTTCACAGTTAATGACCCCCATATTGAATAGGGGGCAGATTTTCATACTGGAGGTGAAAATGGTATGAAAAATACTAAAAAACATCATTGAAACAGAACAGCCACTTGGAAACATGCATAGGTTTTCCCATATTTTCATACCATTTTCCAGAAAATCTGCCCCCTATCCAATATATATGGCATCATTAGTTAACGAAGTTCTGTATTGTTAACTTATTGTTTTGTATTATTTATTTTTTTTAGATTTTTTTAAAGACTAAAGACACTTTGAAGACAGACTATTAAGTTTAAATGTTTCTTTGAAGTAATAATATGAATGGCTAAAGCCAAACTTGTCTAGACTAAGTGGCCGTAATGAGTCACAGCTATTTATTTTACAGGGGGCCAGGGCGTAGCAACTTTTACTGCAGGCACTTTCGCCATACCAATTATTTTTTAAACACCTCATTGCCATACCAAGTATTCTTATAATATGGCACAAACCCTTCTAGAAAGGACATTTTGCCGTACAAATATTAAATACTTTCCCTGCTATGCCTCTGATTAATCCCTTTTGAACTCTGTGTCCCGACGGCCAAGTCAGAAAATACTTAAATAGCTCCAGACACATTCAAAGGGGGTTACGCCTCTGATTATCAGAGTGAACTCCACTTCAGAGATACTTATTGCTATTATAATCATTTCCAATTATATATGTCTATGTCTACGTAGTGTACTGTACATTAATGTCATTTTTTTTTGTGGCCAGTGTGGGGGAAAAAGGACTTCCCTTTTTTCCCCAAATACATAAACAAAACAAAACCGTAATCGTATTTAAAGAATCGGGTAAGTCTTAGAAAACATTAACCGAAATGATTAAAGGAATCAAGTGCAACAGACTCAAATATAAGTGAATATATCACATGCATGTTTGCGCGGTTTCTGCAAATTCAGTCAAAATCAGTTCAATGGATTCCAGGAAATGCTCACAAACGTCATCAACATTTTGGTGATATGATGCATACAAGAATAAAATATTAATAACTTAACTTACCTCAAACTTGCTGTCACTCGTCTTGCATCTATAAAGTAAATATTAATCGACCTTTGGCGTCTTTCAACCTAAGTGCGGAAATGTTACAATTACTCCAAAAGAAACACGAATCCGGATACGGTCTGATATTCCGGGAAGTTCTCGTTTTGACATGTTTCGGTTCCAATTAAAATTAATGTTTACGTTGTTTATAATAATGTACAGACGAGAAGCAAAATACTTTTCTTTAAAAACAAAATATTTATTGGCACAAAATCCTTCATTATAACAATGAATGGTTCCATCTAAAAGTTAGTCCTGTACAGTAGTATTGCATATAATAATATTTAAACAGACATATATTTATAATGAAAAGTTTATAGGATATTTAGAAAAATGTGAGTGGAAATAATTAGACCATATTATAATAATCACATGGGATGTTTTAAATCTGAATTAGGATAAGAAAAAATTGACATGAAAAAATATCACGGCCTTTTCACTGGTTTCAACAACCAGTGAAAAGGCCGTGATATTTTTTTATTAAGCATGAAAGGACAAGTTATCACGGCCTTTTCACGGGATATTGAAATTTCACGGCCTTTTTCTAACATCAAATATTTTTCACGGCCTTTAGAAATATTTTTTTTACAAAAGTCACGGGGTATTTTCACGGGGTTTTCACGGCCCTGTGATATTTCACAGACATTTCACGGCCTTTTCATGGGCTGTTGTTACAGTAGTGTTAACGTTTCGGTTAAAAGGCTCACTTTGTGTAACATGTTTGGGAATGCAAAATGCAAATATTTAAAAGTTTACCTGAAACTGAAAATGTGTGTCTAACATTTAAATTAAATTCATAAAACATTTCTACTTTGACTGGTTTATAGTACTATAATTTCATATGGAATTAACTGACTTTTCTTTTTTCTTTCTTATTGTGACATTTTCATATCAAAAACAACTAGTACAAGTATATACATGTATTATTATTTCAAAATATATTTGCAATACAATTTGAAGCCAATGAGTAACATAACTAACTCCGAGAAAAATGAGTTGCTCTTTTTTTATCGACTATTATATCTGAAGAACTTTTTTTTCAAATTTGTACAGAAAAAAACTGGATGCTCATATGAGCCTGAATTGCTTACATGTCAATCAACATGTCACATTTCTTTCCGAAAACGTAATTTATTTTTAGTGTTCAGCTATTAAACACCATTCAAGTAAAATCAATCTAAATTATTACGTGTACGTTGTTTTATTTAAAGCCATTTTGTTCCAGGTTAGAGTTGTCTTTTTGACATTGTTCCTACTTCTTTTTTATCACTACCTGTAACGTTTATGTTATATAGGCACCTACGTTTTAATATTGTATTTATATTTTGTCATAGATCCAACTTATTCGTTCGATTCGTTCAGTATATGTTTACTTGTTTTTGTTTAAATGTCTTTTTGATCGAGTTAAGCCATTTTAATTAATAATTTATAGTGCGACTTTTTATGTTGTAATGTTACACTACTGTCTCAGGTTAGGGTGAAGGTTGGCGCCTATTAAAACGTTTAAGCCCGCTGCATTTTATGCACCTGTCCTAAATTAGGAGCCTGATGTCCATTGGTTGTCGTTTGTTGGTGTGGTTCATAGGTGTTTCTCGTTTCTCGTTTTTTATATAGATTGCATGGACCGTTGGTTTTCCTGTTTGAATTGTTTTACACTAGTCATTTTGGGGCCCTTTATAGCTTGCTGTTCGGTGTGAGCCAAGGCTCCGTGTTGAAGGCCGTCCTTTGACATATAATTGTTTATTTTTTATTCATTGTGACTAGGATGGAGAGTTGTGTCATTGGCACTCATACTATATCTTCTTATTTATATATAATTTTTTTTCTTTAATGTATGTATTAACGATAACATGATTTATTTAGGATATTGAACGATAAAGATTTTTGAAAAATACGTAATAGGTTTTTTGAAATTTTTTTCTTAAAAGATTTAAGGGCAGTAACATTTATAAAAGGCCATTTATAAGTTTCGATCATGTGACTCATGTCCAAAGCTTAGCTTGTCTTGATTATTTTTGTTTGTTTTTTAAAGTCTTGTACATCGATAAAAAGTGATACAATTGGTTAACAATCTACATATAAGGACAATAGCTATGAGTCATATATTGTTTCAGTAAAATTAGGCTCATGGAAGATCTTGTATGATGATAATTTTTGTAGCTTACAGTTTCTTTCTAATTATAATTTAAGGCAAAATGTATGTAATATAGGCAGAAGCACCTAACAAAATCGCAGCAAGGCATCCTTTTCGGAGCCAATTGATTGTTTTAGGAATACAAGGATTTTTTTTTGTATTGCTTATAATGTATTCAATTTACAGTTTCTTTCGATCCAAGACAAAATGATTAAATTGGTCAAATGAAGGTATCAGTAGTATTGATATTTTTGTAGATAGCAATACTGTTTATTTTTCCATCTGTAGTTTCTGTGCATAAATGAATAAATATCAACACATCAAAGCAAAAATGATGAAATTGGTAAAAACAAATCGTCATTGAAGAGCTATAAATGTTTATAGGAGCCAATTTAGATGGTTTCAGTCATATTTCAAATTGTTTAGATCTTATTACTGTTTACATTTTTCTGACCATCTATTAAATGCAAGATAAAAACAGTGGTAAAAGAACTAATTTAAATTGTAAAAACTCCTATAAGGAATCATTTTATGAAGTATTCATGTAGATTTTGAAATTATAACGGTTTTTCCTGTCTATAGATAACGATGTTTATCTGCTAATTCGTGACCATGTTATGTTTTAAACGTTTATTTAAATTCAAAGTGTAATAAAAAGTTTAAATAAAAAGATAAGATTTACATATTAAAGTCTTAAATAATTGACCTTTTCAATCACATGTATACTACTACCAGTTGAACCCGTTTTAGTCTATATTTTCTATAGACCTCCTACACGAACATGATATCGCATTATTAGAAATACCTATATTTTGGCATTGAACAAGGTCATATATTTATCTGACTGTCTTTACACTAAATCCATTGGATATTGGATGTGTATTGAATGCTATTTTAGTCTTAGATGCATGATGTTTTTTATTAGTTGTTTTTATCTTTGAACTAGCTTTTAGTAATGCGAGTACTCTCAGATCTATACTTTGTGTCTTTTTTGCTTTTGTATTGTATCGATCTGATGAGTTAAGCCCTTTTCGACTGAACTTTGCGGCCGTATAATGGTATGGAGATGTCGTCGTCGTCGTCCGAAGACATTTAGTTTCCAGACAATAACTTGAGTATGAATAGTAAAATAACAAAAATACCGAACTCCAAGGAAAATTCAAAACGTAGAATTCCTTATCAAATGGCAAAATTTGATAAGGAACAAACACATCAAACGAATAGAAAACAACTGTCATATTCATGACTTGGTACAGGCATTCCTTATGTAGAAAATGGTGGATTAAACCTGGTTTTATAGCTAGCTAAATCTCCACTTCTATGACAGTCGCACACAATTCCATTATATTGACAAGAATGTGTGAACAAAACAAACAGACATAATACTAAAAAGGTAAAAAAGTCAAAAATAGGGGTACAGCAGTCAACATTGTGTTATAATCTTTATCACTATAAAAAAAACCAAATATGTCAACAAAGAAAAACAAAATGGCATATAGAAAAAGCACATAAGCAAATATGAAAGACAAGAGTACAAACTAGAGGCTCCAAAGAGCCTGTGTTGCTCACCTTGGTTTGTATGCATATTCAAGAAAGGACACTCTCCAACATTGAAGACGAGAATAGAATTAATGACAAAAATCTTCTTTTTTTTCTTTTATCTTATATTGCTGATCATTGAAGTCTGATTAGTGTCTCTCTATCTTATTTAGCTTTTGCTCCAAACACAAAAGAGAGGGTAAAAAAAATCCTAATTTAAGGGCAATAACTCCTATAAAAATTAACAGTCTACTAATAATATCAGGACAAATTTGACTTGTTAGTAGGTCCTCTCTTGCTTTTAATTTTTGATTATTTTAGTTTCTATCAATCTAATATAATTTTCATCATATAAGGCAAAACGCAAAAAAAATGGTAAAAATCGTCATTGAAGATAAAAAAACTCCAATAAGGAGTCGTCGGACAATTTCTGCCATTTGTCTTAATTGTAGATCTTGTCTTGCTGATCATTTAAGTTTCTTTCTATCTATTATAAGTTTTAAGATATAAGAAAAAAATTGTACATCAAAGGGCAATGACTCTAATAAGGAGTCAACTGTCGATTTCAACCATAACACTTATTTGTAGAACTTGTCCTTCTGATCATTTTTGCATAATAAAGTTTCTATCTATTATAGTTTTTAAGATAATAGGCAAAAATTAAAAAAAAGTGTCATTTAAGGCCAATAACTCCTACATAAAATCGTCTAACAGTTTTGACGTATATAGACAACTGAGAGAGCTCAATATTCTGAACAATTTTACCCTTTCAAGATTTCCTCTATTTATAACTGTTATCGGAATAATAGACAAAACTTCCATTTTACCCCATATGTTCTATTTTTAGCCACGTCGTCCATCTTTGCTGGCAGGCGGGGTCATCGGACACATTTTTAAAACTTAATACCCTAATGATGATTGTGGCCAAGTTTGATTATATTTGGCCCAGTAGTTTCAGAGGAGAAGATTTTTGTAAAAGATTACAAAACTTTACGAAAAATTGTTAAAAATTACTATAAAAGGCTTAAGGGGTCAATTGACCATTTTGGTCATGTTTGACTTATTTGTAGATTTTACTTTGCTGAACATTATTGCTGTTTCCAGTTTATCTCTATCTATAATAATATTGAAGATAATAACCAAAAACTGTAAAATTTCCATAAAATTACAAATTCAGTGGCAACTACCCAACTACAGATTGTCTGATTTGTCTCAAAATTTCTGGGCAGATAGATCTTAACCTGATGAACATTTTTACCCCCTTGTTAGATTTGGTCTAAATGCTTTAGTTTCAGAGATATAAGTTCAAATCTGCAATTTACCCCTATGTTCTATTTTTAGCCATGTTGGCCATGTTGGTTGGTTAGC